AGATTGCCACAGAGCAATTTAATGGGTTTCTGCCGCTGCTCAAAAGCTGTGAATATCTCTATTCATTCCCTTGGAAAAAAGGTTAATAAACTCTGAGAATCGGGGAATATTTCTGTGTAATAGTTTGGTTGTGTGAAGAGGGGGCAGGGCGTAAAGGTGGTGGGTTTTGCTGTATAAATATGCTAGGCACGCTCCTCAATTTCCTTCTAGGGAGGGGAAAGCTCATGTCATGTTCTGCTTACAGAAGAGCCAAGAAAGAGCGTGGAGGGGAAGGAAGGGGAAAGATTATTCTCGTGCAGAGTCTCTCTGAGTTACCCAACCAGATTCAGATCTTTCTCCAAGTCAGCAGAGCAGGCACTGACTGAAGACATGACTACCCTGGGGACTCACACCTCCAGGCAGAGCTGGAAATGAGGGCAAGAGAATCCATCATGAACTTTCTCTGCTCTCACAGGCAGGAACTTTCTCAGCCTCAGTGGCTGCAGCAGTCCCCTCTCTCACACAGGACAGTGGCCAGGAGTGGAACGCAGAGAGACCTGGGACACAGAGTGGAGGAACAGCTTCAGGCCCTGGACACAAAACCTGGATAACAGAAGCAGAGAAAGACCAACTGGGAAACCCAACAGAGATTTCAGCGAGCACAGGAACACCCCCGGATGGGGAGAGAAAGAGCTGTCTCTGCAGCCCACCCTATGGCCCACAGCTGGTGGGGAGAGAAAAGCTGGAGGTGGATGCACCTGCAAGGCTGGAGCTCCCATCCCACAGCCTGATCTGAAGAGACACTCCATCTGCTCCCATCCACCAAAGAAAAGGGCTCTCCCCCATCTTAAACCATGCTTGGTGTTCAGGTGTTGTGGAATTAAAGCAAATCAAATTATAACCTCCCTCGCTGGGCCAGAGGCACGGAGAGATTGAGAGTCCGGGGTTTTTCTCATCAGTTGTACAAAAACTTGAAGGCTGTGTGAAGATGCTCTGCCCTGTCACTCTGGCTATGGTGACACCCATCATGTGCAACAAAGGAGAGGGCTGGAGGGGGGTAGACTACAACCAGAAAGAAGGCTGCCTTGGTCTGGCAGGAACATGGGCTTACACTGGTGTGGCAAACACACACTGGTGTGGCAAACGTGGGCGGACGCTGGTATGGCAAACACACAGCTCCTACAGAGCAATACATTTGGTCTCTTTGGAAGAGAAGTGGCTATTGGCATTTTTCTTGTAAGGAAGCACCTGAAGACATATGATCACCATGATGGTAAGACCCTCAGCCCATCCTTAGCTGAGTCACAAATGCCGGAATATCCAGCAGGCAGAGAGCTCTCAATTCTCCATTGCTGTAAGGACAACGGAACCATCACGCTGGACTGGGCATGTCCCTTTCTCATATGCACACACAGACACATATCCTTCATGTTAGCATCATGCAAAAACTCTCCTCTACCTTTGTACAGTGTGATACGGAGCTTACTGGAGATGCAGGATGGGGTCGCCCAGTTCAGCCATATGAGGACTACCTATAGACAACGTGGCTAGAATTAGCTTTCAGACCATGAATTTGAATCGTGCCTCACTAGTACTAAGTGGTGGCTGTGAACAGGACTTCTGTTCCTGATTTTGAAGGTTCCGCTCAAAACTACATACCGAGTGGTGAAAACCAGTGACTTCAGTGAAATGATTATGTATTTTCAATCCCAATCCCAGAGAAACCACCACAAGAGAAAACCAGCAACCCAGATGAGTTAGCTGAGGCGAGAACTGAAGACAGACTGTGCTGGACAGAAAAGGAGACTAAATCATTCTCTGCCCTTGTCAATTGTAGGGCATTGCCAAGCAGCAGACAAAAATCTCTCTACTGTTTCACCCATATTCTCTGGCTAAGAAGAGAACTGAGATGGTCAAGCACGTGACTTCCCTAAAGTTACAAGCAAATATGCCCCTGAAGCATGGTCATATATCTGAGGCTTCTGCTGCTAACAGGCTTGACACTGATGTTAGAGATAGGATGATAAAAAGATTGCTCTTCAAAAATGGGTCAGACATGAGTAAATGGGATGAGGCACCCAACTGTCTTTACAAACAGCTTGTGCAATAATTCTAGGTGACACATCCCTGGTCAAGTATTAGAGTTGCAGAGCAGCTTTTCAAATGATTCTTTTTACACGAACCATCTAGCAATTGTAAGAAAACAAAGCACATATTCCAGCCTCCTCTGAGCAGTTTTTTGAAAAATGTAGCAGTTGTTTTACCTGGCCTAAAAAACGACCGCAGTATATAATCTAGAGGATCTTCAAGATTAACCCTTTATCCTCTCATTTTCCATTGCACCTACTTTAATACATACTTCTGTTGAGCTGACATACAAAAAAACTAAAAGAGCTAAAAGGTTACATGCAGCAGCGTGGCAGGTGTGATCTACCTTGAGGGTGATCAGACGGCCACAGCCAGAAACTAGGACATACGTGTTTGCCAGGAGGGATTTCAGAATGGACGCTGCATCCTAAGTAAAGCCAAGTAATGAGACAAGTGCACAATCTGTCGTTGTTCTGCACTGTTCTCTGTTCCTTCTGAGGGCAGTTCTCTTTGAAAAGCCCCATCTCAAAATCATCAGATAATGTCATACAAATGGTGAAGGTGGGACAGGACCACAGGACCTCTGGAGCTCATTGGAACAGGCTGCCCAGGGAAGTGTTTGAATCACCACCCCTGGATGTATCCAAAAGACACGTAGATCTAATACTGAGGGACATGGTTTTGTGGAAACTTTGCGGTGTTAGGTTTATGTTTGGATTCGATGATCTTAAAGTTGTTTTACAACCAAAATGATTCTACAATTCTACGATTCATCCAGTCCAGCCACCTTACTGGGTGCAGGATCAAGTCCCACTGCTAGGGATTTTGAAAGACAAAATTTGAGAATAAATTTCTAATTTATTCTAATTCTGATGTGTTTTCATGCATATGAACTGAGGAAAACTTCCACCCAGGCATCTTAGAGATACTCATGTCTTTCATACATTTAAGCATTTTTCTGACTGTTTCGAACGTGTATTAGCACACTAAAGAGGCTTTATTTTAAAAATTCAAGCTTGTTTTGGAAGCGTCATTAATAAATACAACTACTCAGTAGACTTGGCTGTGAAATAGGAAGTTACAGATCCTTATAAATTATTCGTGGCACCGCATGAAAATTATGAATTTGACAAGTATTTATCAACACACCATCTTTTCATAAGCTAAGGAAAGCAGGATGAGAGTATCAGTATCTGTTGCTATCCTTGCTGTTAGCAGTTGGCCACACCACCTGAATCCTCACAAAAAGTAGGACAACACCAAAAAAAAAAAAAAAAGTAGGACATTTAATCACTCAGCACCACCTGGAACATTCATCAGCACATCAAGTGCACGTACTCAGCACATTGAGACGCACTGGACAGATGAACCTGGAATATCTAAGTGGGAAGCAATGGCTACTGAGTGAGGGTGTGCCTGAAATATTCATCAGGAGCTGATCATTTAATGTTTTTCTTAGAAAAACAAATCCCAAATCTTCTACTCTACAAAATGAAGGGAAAAGAAAACCAAAAACATACTAGGGAAACTAACCATAACTTTCTTTGTCACTAACCTCAGAGTGTCTTCTGATGTTCTTCTGCATCAACTTGATTCTTGCAGAACAGACTTTTGCAAACCCAGAGTCCCAAATCTGCCTTCAAGCAGACCTCTTATGTTACTACTCACATCCCATCCGGACATCATTAAGCGGAAGGATTTGGGGAAGCTTTTTATACAAAAGCCATTTTATTGACTCGGACATTCTTGTAAATGTTCAGACTTTGCTCAAAATGGCATTTTGCAAGAGGGAAAAAGACATACTGAAAAAGATTTCCTGTCCAGTGTTATGTTCATTATCCTGACCTGCTGGGCCCTGCCAGACTGCGTCCCTGTTGTCCTGAGTCCACAAGGCGGGGTCCCTGTCAAGAAGGGGACAGGGGTCTACAAAAGCAAGTGTTGCTTCCTCATGCCACTTATTTAGCCAACAGTTCATCTGGAAGGTCCCCCCACCTGCCTTCCTTTCTCATAGGACAGGGTCTTTGTCCTCTACTCAGCACTTCTGTGAAATGTCTGAGGCTGTTCACCATCTTTCAGGCGTCATGGGAAGCCACAACTAGAAGAGTTTATGCTAGAAGGGGCCACCACCACTGGATTGTCCCAAAGCTTCTCCCATCATGAGGGCAGGTCTTGCCGCTTGGTCATGTCTCCACCTTTCCCTGGCAGGACATTCATGCCATTCACGGCTCTGCGACATCCTTGTGAGGATGGCCTGTCTTCCATGTGTGCTTGGAGACATTTCTGTTGGTCCATGTGGTCATCCTGTTGGTGGGGCTTAAACAGCAAACCCCCAGTACTTCCTAGACAGCTTTCTTGTGGGTGAACCTTCAGACATATATTTTCTGGTTGTTTTTTTTGGGGGGAGAGCACCCCATTTCTAAGAGTGGGGAAAAAACACCTATGCAGGTTTGTCCTCTGCCACACGGAATGCCTCCTGCTCCCCTTTGCTTCTTGTGGTGGCCGGGCAAGAGCCCATGGCTCACCTGGTGGGTCACCTGGTGGCCTGGAGGACGGCAAGGCAGTGACGCCATGAAGGTTGGGACACAGGTGGGGTGTGAAAACACTTCTCCTCGGGACTTTTTGCGGCTGTTTCCCAAATTGAGGGAGGGCGGCCTGAGTGTGCGGGGGGACACACAAGGCCGGGGCACAGGCACACGGTGGAGCATGAGATCTCCTCAGCGCCCCCGGCTCCCTGCGCGGGGGGCAGATAGGCCCAAACCGTCCCGGCGGGGGCCGGGAGAGGCCTCCCCCACACACTGCCCTCCATCCCTCCGAACCGGGGGCCGGGGCCTGCCCGGCACCGACAGCCCGCCCTCACCGCGGGGCCGGGAGGCGTCGGGCCCGGAACGCCGGTGCCCGGGGAGCCGTTTCCAGCCGGGCCGGGCCGGGCGGCGGGAGCGGCGCCGCCTTTGGGTTCCCGCCGGCGCATCCTGAAAGGAGGGGGCGGTGGCGGCGGCATGGCCGGGGCGGTGAAAGTTCTGACCACCCTGAGGAACCACTGGAAGAAAACCACGTTCGGGGTCTGCCTGCTGAGCTGGGGCGGGCACTGGCTGTACGGGAGGCACTGGTAACTGCCGGCTGGGGAATGGCGGCGGCGGGCGGGAGAGCGGGGCCGCCGGTCCAGCTCTGGGCCCGCGGGCTCGGCCCTGTGCCCCCGGGGGCTTTCACAAGCCACCGGCCTCAGCGCCTGGCGAGGGCATGGCTGCCGTGTTCGCCTCGGGTGCCCAGGGCCCGCTCCCCTCCCGGCTGGTAAAATGGAGGGGCTGCCCTGGAAGGGGCTGCTGTGGCAGATCGGGGGGTGGGCTCTCCCCCATCCCCTGCCAGCAGCTATGAGCTTAGGAAGGCCCAGTGCCTTTTTGGGGTGTCCCACCATAGCCTTGCCGTGGGCCTGGGGCTAGCTCAGGCCGTAGTTTGAAACAAAAGTGTTGTCAGGGTGGGTTGAGTCATTCTGGGGCTGGCTGGAGAGGAGAAAGATTTCTCTTTTCTAACTTAAAACAAGAAGTGCTGTCAGCCAAGTGTGTGCCCTCATCTTGTTGGCTGTTAACCAATATTATAAGGATGAATGAGACCAGAGGCCATACATCTGCTTGTGTCCATTCAGGTGCTGTGTGTCTCCCTTCCCACTGGCACAAGTAGTGAGGTGGGGGTCGGTCTCTTCTCCCAGGTAACAAGCGATAGGACAAGAGGAAATGGCCTCTAGTTGATCCAAGGTAGGTTTATGATGGATATTAGGAAAAATTTCTTCACCAAAAGGGTTATCAAACATTTTAACAAGCTGCCTGGGAAGCAGTGGAATCACCATCCCTGGAGGTATTTAAAAGACAGGTAGACCTGGTACTGAGGGACTTGGTTTAGTGGTGGGTTTGGCAGTGTTAGGTGGATAAATTTCTTCACCAAAAGGGTTATCAAACATTTTAACAAGCTGCCTGGGAAGCAGTGGAATCACCATCCCTGGAGGTATTTAAAAGACAGGTAGACCTGGTACTGAGGGACTTGGTTTAGTGGTGGGTTTGGCAGTGTTAGGTGGATAGTTGGACTTGATGATCTTCAAGGTCTCTTCCAACCTAGATAATTCTGTGATTCTGTGGTGCCACTGATACCTGAGTAATGGGAAGCCACTTTAATGCCCAGCAGGCAGCCATCGCAGCATGATGGTCGTGTGCCCATGGGTGTGTTTTCCCACCTTCTTTTTTTCTTTCTCATGGTGCCAAACACCTCATGAAAGATGCCAGGTTTTCTGTGGTGGCTCTCTTGATGTGTGGCACTGGTGGTAGCCGTGCACTGTCCCTCTCTCGTGTGCCTGCCTCGCTGTTGTCACCCACCTCCCTGGAAGGAGCCCCTCAGCTGCTGCAGCAGTGCTGCTAACATAAGCCAAACCTAGCAGTGTGTCATTTCCACTCTTTATCTGTGGAGCAAAATCCTCCTTCACAATTGTAAATAGCTAGGCTTATATTGTAATCCCTGTCCTTGAAGATTATAGACAATACATTTCACTAACATGCAAGTGCGGCCAAATTATTTTTAAAACTTTTTGGTTTTGGTGCTGCTGTTTATTCTGTCACTGTCTTAATGTCTTTTTAATTGTTGAGTCATGATTTTAGCTGTGTTCTTCCTATATTGAAATTCTGCCAAAGCCTCAGTGGAAAACTTAGGAAAATAAATCTGTTTATGTTGTTTGTTATACTTTCCTTCTTTGTTTCCTTTTGCCTAGGGACTTTTGCATTAAATTAGTCTTTGTTTTGAAAGCATCTGCTTTAGTGGCTTACTTCTTACCTGGAGCACTAAGGCTCTGTTGACTGCAGGGCAAACGGCAAGAAAACTCTCACTCCATACTTTTTTCCTTGTAATTGCTGATTGCGGAGCAGGCTCTGGTAAGATGGAGAATAACTGTGTGAAAGTGGTGGTGACAAGGTCACAGTTTCATGTGTATGCCTATGTGGACCAACAGACAGGAAGAAAGTACAGAGTAGATTGCTGTGTTCTTAGCAGAAGTATTTGTGCTAAATAGGTTGGGGGTTTTTGTTGCCTTTGTGTAAAGGCAGTGGATCCTTGAGCTTGTGTTCTGCTTTTCCCTCTGACGACTTGAGCTTTGAATTCACATAAAATAGCGAAATGTAAATGCATAATTATTTGACGTTCTATCGTTCTAGATACCTCTTAGCCAAAAGACTAAGCTTAATGTACAAAAGGAGGAGGAAGAAATTGCTCGGTGCCATTCATATGAGGGACTGGCTGGCGGGACAGAGCAGCCTCTGACCTTCCCAGGTACCCTGCTTACAGGAGCAGCCTCCTTGCTGGCCTTCTGTTGCCACAGGTGCTAATGACAGTGGAGTGCACGTCAGGCCTGGGTGCTATAGAGAGCTACTGAACTCGAGCATTAAGAAAAAGGGTGTATCTGCTCCTCGTGCATATGGAGAGCGGGCACTTGAGGAGGCCTAGGAGCAGCGTCAGACACAACCAGTCTCCCCTTCATGTCTGTTTTTTTCTGGAAATTCACGTGCCTGTGTGTACTGTTGGTTTCAGCTCTATTGATTTCCCATGCAATAACTGTGAAAACACATTTTGGTCATGGAAAATGTGAGGCGTACCATAGGTGATATGGTAGTCAATAAAGAGGACAACATGAAAGGCAAACAAACAAAAAAAGGGAACTTTTGGTATCCAAATTTCAGTGCTCAAAGTTTATTTGCACCAAGCATAGGCACAGTGCTTTAATCCAGATGATGTAGTGGGGGGAAAAAAGTGTTTACACATCCCGTTCTTAAATGTCCCCTTTTTTTCTAGAAGGGAAAACACAGCATTTCCTTACCAGACATTGGAAATGCAAGATAGGAAATCCTGTGATGACAAACAGCTCTGTGTGACTTTGGCATAGATTTACAGCACAGCTGTAAGTACTGCTTTCAGAGATTTAAATTCTGTTTGGAAAAAGTGGCAGCCATTTAGCTGTTGCTTGATATGTGTGGAGGATTGTTTTATGCAGGGAATAGAAAAACGAGGAATGATGGACGAGGCTGATGGCAAGAATGTGAAAATTCAAAGGTGGTCTCAGCAACCCTACTGTGCTGCTCTGTCCACAGTGAGGGCCTTACCTTTTGGATGCTGGAGAGCAGGGAATAGGATCCCTCTCTGCAGCTTCTTTTTTGCCTCCAAATGTGTCAAAGGCTTTTGGTGGGCTTTTTTTTGGTGCATTCTCTCTCCCCAGTTTCATTGTTTATGTACCAGTTGTGTTGGGGAGCGTGAGAGGTGCCTTTTGCCCCATGGACAAAGTGCTGCAGGCAACACTTGAAGAGGTTAATGAGGGAACCACGTATGAGCTGTGAGACTCCCTGTTATCTGCATCGGGGGCTAAATTACTATGCATGAGGCATACTTGACTAGACTTATATTTGCCCTTTTGGAACAGATTAAAGGTTTAGTGAAGTCTTGTGCTTCGGTTTCTGGCATCACTTGGAGTCTCTGACGAAGGGGTTTGCTTTAGCACACCATCAGTTCGGATTAGCCTCTAACTTATTGGAATTAGCTGTCTGAGATGTTGCTTGTTTATTTGCAGCTGAAGAAAGTTGTGGTTCGGGTTTGTTTTTTTTCTCTTTGTGGCTTTTCCATCCTCCTGGTTTTTCTGAGATATTTCTCTTGCAAGAAGAAGATCATTTGCTTTTTTGACTTCTCAAGGTTCATTCTTCTTTTGGATGCAGAGGCTATGATGCCTGCACTAAGTGCATCTATTGTAAATAACAATCTGTCCTAAAAATAAATGGCAACTCTTCTGTAGTTGGTGTCTACGTGCCCATAGGGACAGAAGAGCTCTGGAGTACTTACCTTAAGACTTTGGAGGATGCTACATGGACAAATATGGCCAAGAAGAATATTACCTTTTCCAGACTTGTCCCCTGTGCCTCTTCCCTGCCTGGAAATGGACCTGGATGTCCCACTCTTGCACCCTGTGGCTGTGCTGTGGGGCCTGATGTGGATGTCCTTGTGCTCCACAGGCTGTAGAGGAACGAGGGGCACTGGAGGGTAACAGTTCATCACCGAGTTAGTCTAAAGGTTGTGGATGACAATAACTGTAAAGGTCGAGAAGCTTCTTAACCCAGTCTTGTATGATACTTCCTTCATGCAGCATTTAGTGTCCGGATTGGTGTGTTAGCCTTTCGTCTTGGGAGGTGTTTGTTCAAATACTGGCTGATTTAACAGGAAGGGGTTATTGGATGAACAGAGGAGTAAAGGGGAAACCTTGTGCCGATTCCCTCTCCCCAATTTGTGATTCACCTGTTCTAAGGATGTAATATAATAGAAGGTGCCTCTTCAAAAGAGACATCGACCAGGAGGTGGCAAAGGTTTTTCATGTGTAAAATTATAACTATTATATCTGGTTGAACTATCTGTTAACTAAAACCATATTGCTATTCTAACAAAACCTTAGCGAGTCTTAAAATTCTTTCTCATAAAAGAATGTTTTAAAAATCCATTGTCTTTGCTATTTAGGATAGCGAATACTCTTGTGGTAATGGAGAAGTAAGAAGACAACTCATTGTTGTCACATTCGAGATTGTCTCCATTTAATTTCTCTAGATTGCGTGAATTTGTGTATTAGCATCATTTTAATCCAGAGCATATCCTACTACAGGTATGAGGGACACAGAATTTAATGTACTTGATGAAAGCTTGGAGGGTATGCAGGTTGTCAGATACATGCTCATATACAGTAATGTACTTCTGTTTAACATATACACAAGGTTGATTACAGATAAAGTAAAGATACCATATGATGGCCTTAAAATTTTCACCGAGTTTGGAAGCCCCTCTCAACCTTTGTGTCACCTTTCCTGAATTGAGCTGCTGCTGTTCTTTATGTGTCCAGGTGGTGCAGTGAGTCACCAGCTCTGTCAAATCAGCAGAAATTTAATCTCTGGCATGATGGGCATCAGCTTAACTGATTGTCAGATTTGGCCAGACTGTTACAGTGGTGTCACGGGGTAAGTGATCATCACTTTGTCAGGTTGAAGACTCTTGATATTATACCGAGGCAGTGGACTCCTCGGATACTCAGTTTTATTGTAGATGTTAAAGTATTGACTTTCCCTGTAGAAAATGCTGGCAAGGGCCTTTGACTGCCTGCCAGTAATCCGAGTGTTATTGTTATCTGTAATTTGAATGTTAGTGTCTGTGTGTTTGCCAACTGATAACTCACTTTGTCACCTTTCTGCATATATACCTCCTGAGTGACTGACTTTATTTCATCAAACTTTGTCAAGAAACCCTGAAGGATCAATTCCGAGTCTTAGTTAAAGCTGCTGAAAACTAAGATTTGTCTTTCATGCCCTTCCAAAGCCAAGCTGGAAGTAAATGCTGATATCCAGGAAAGAGGATGCTCTGCTTTTGCTGTATTGGAGGCAGCTAAAATGCTCTCTGCTAAGATAAAATCTCTTTTAAAGAGTTCTGTTATAACTCTTGAGGAGTCATCCTATGTGGATAGCTTTGGTGAAGTTTCTCTTCACAAAACTCTGTGTTTTGATGCAGACACTGAACTGGGGAATTTTTAGGCTGCTCCTTGCTTGAATGTACTTAATAGTCTTGGGTTTAATCCTGATAACCCTTTCTGAAATAGATTTCACACCTTTCATCCTGGGAACTGTCCTTTCAGGTACTTAGGCAGAGCATGCCTAGAAGAATTAGGAAGAAATTCTTTATTGTGAGGGTGGAGAGACACTGGAACAGGTTGCCCAGAGAAGATGTGGATGCCCCATCCCTGGTTCAAGACCAGGCTGGATGGGGCTTTGAGCAACCTGGTCTGGTGGGAGGTGTCCCTGCCTATGTCAGGGGGGCTGGAACCAGATGATCTTTAAGGTCCCTTCCAACCTGAACCAGTCTACGATTTTGTGCTGCAGTCTCGGCTGGGGGAGCATATATAGTAAATTGCATGGATCTGTGGGCCTATATTCATGGATTGACAGAGTTGGAAGGAACCTCTAGAGATCATCTAGTCTAACGCCCCTGCTAAAGTAAGAGTGTTAATTCCCTGCTGAAAACACATAGAAGCAGTGGCCACCAGCCCTGTGGCGCAGATGGTGCAGACAAATCAGAACAGCCCCTGTTGGAGCGGGTCCTGTGGTTGTTGTGCTCTCACAGTGCAGTGTGTTCTGGGAACCTCACACGGCTGGTGCCTTGTGAGCTCCAGACACTCACTTTCTGTGTTGATTCCTTGCCTTGCCATAAGCCTGCTCTGTTCTCCAACGAGTCTGCGCTGCGGTGGTTGCTGGCCTTGCAGGGTTGACTGGTATCTTTGTGGAACCAGTCAAAAGTTCTGTCTGTGGGGTCAGCTTAGGACATCCTCTTCCTTCTGCACCCCGCTGCCACTGCCCATTCCTCTCTGTCTCCCAATTTTTTTACTGGTTAAGCAAGTGGGCCCAGTTGTAAGCTGTGTGATGCTTAATTCTCACCATGGGAAGGCAGCCCTGGGTTGGCCAGCAGATGCAATACTGCACGTCTGTTTTGCTTTAGGGCTGGAGCTGTGTCTGTAAACCCTCAGAGGAAACGTAAAGTAAAAATTGATTTTTAGTTTGCTGGGGACATGGTGCAAGTCAGAAGAAATCTCTGTTTGTTCTTTAAGGCAGCGCAGCAATTTCCCTCAGCCTTCACCTGCTCCTGTTCTAGTGTGGCTGAAAAGGCTTTGTTACTACGTAATACTAGTCCATAAAGTATGAAACAATTGACAAAATCTTATGTTTATTATTAAAAGTCTCTTCTTCTCTGGGAGCTGCTATGCAGACATATTTTGATAATCTAATACCTACCAAGACAGAGGCTTTAAGACATTACCCTTTTGCTATTTTATAACATTTTCCTAGCTGTAATTATTAATTGGTATGACCCGCAGAGGACTTCTAGACTCACTTGTGGCATTTTAGGTGAGCTGTGTGGGCTGAGTAAAGGCAAGAGCTGTGATTCAGAAGGACTGCTGTTCTCTCAGATACAGCCCTCTGAGTGCACTTATGGTTTTTTTATTCTTTAAGTGTGAAGATAGTTAAATGTTGATGTAATATTTTAAGGAAAGAAAAATTTTCCTGTTACCTGGAGTCTTTAAGCCAAACTCGGGACATCTTTAAGCCAAACTCAGATGACTTTGAAATATATGTCCTAGTTGAATCGGTGGGAATCGTATGAGTACGGCTGGGATGGCATGGGCTGCTGGGTGCTGTGCTACTGGAGAGGGGAGACAAATCACCTATGAATTACTGGACAGTAAATGGTTCTTCTGGTCTCAGAATCTAAACATTTCCTTTGACGACAAAATGATATGCGTTAGAGTAGACGTAAATACTTCACTGCAGGAAAAAAATAAGCTTAAATGTTGGCATCTAAACTATCAGTCCTAATTCTTATGGTTAAGACTCCCTTGAGCTGAATCAAGCTCGCATCCTTGACAGTGGTTTTGAGGGTCTTTGCGGGTTGGGAGAGAAAGCGCAGTATTTTTTGCTTGCCTTTGAAAAGTTGTGTTGGGCTCCATTTTAAAGGCAATTAATGCTGCAGCGTAAGGTGGAGGACGCTGGCTGGCGATGCGACCCGGCTTGGCTTCTGAACCAAACAGCATCAGTGTGAAGTAAACAGATAACATGGATTTGGCTGGAGTGTGTTAATATGGTTAGGACGGCAGCTGTCAAGTACGTCAATGGCGCTGCCATCATCTGGTAGTGGGGTTTTCTTGATATCCCATGACATTTCAACTTTATACATAGAAATTGCAATTGCTTTGCATTTGCTCTGGCCACGCCTAGTTACAGAAGGGGAAAAAATATCCCTGTGTGAGGGCTCATGCCCTCGGCAGCTCCGTGTGGATTTGGCCTGTCGTGCTGTCTTGATTGAACTGGAATTAACTGTGGCAATGTTGTTTAGCTTGGAACACAACCCTTTTCAGAGACAGTTGTTTGAGCTAGTGCCCTTTCATTGTATTGGTGCAATCAAAACCAAGTCTGTCACTCCGCTTTACTGATATTTCAGGTGCTTAACACAAATCACTTAGTCCTTTGGTTATAAGGAGCAAACATGGCATTTAAAAGCATGCCTCCGAGGAAATTTTTCTTAGGCTTTCACATTACTTGTTGTCTTGGTGAGGTTATTATTCACATATTTTCTTTTTTCATGCTTGAATTCTTCCTTTAGCTTTTCATTATTACCAGGGATAGATCTGTGGCTTTTTTGCTGTAGTTATTTTCTCAGAACCTAATTTTACATCTCACCTGAAGTAGCCCTACTTCTCCTTCTATGGCATTGCAGCATCTTTTGGTGATGCCAAAGAGAGCAGCTTATATAGCTTCAGTGATAGATAAATAGCGTAAAATCATGGAATTGAGTAGATGGCACTCGTGTTTGGGTCCAGAGGTCCAACCAAGGCCTTGCCTCCTCTTCTGCCATTACAGGATTTGGCCTGATGAGCCACACTTTGTGGAGGGGGTGTGCTGCTTTCCTACTCACTTGTTTTTCATCATTGAATCTTTTTAATTGCTGTAGTGTATTCAGTTTGGTGGTCTGACTATAATTGGATTTTTTGTACTAGATATTTTTGAGACAATTATACTCTGTCTTGCCAGGTATTGGCAAGGACAAGCTGAAGGAGATTTTTGGTTTTAGCGAGGAGGGGGCGTGCCTGGTATCTAGAGGATGCGTGGGACTTTGGGCACTGCAGAACAGGATTTCTCGTTTTGTCTGCAAGGGCCAATAGGGCATTTTTTTGGTCTGGGGAAGAACAGAATTTTGTTCTCTCAGTAGCTCTGTCTCCAGTTTACTTGCCAACTATACCCTGCTTACCACCTTGCTGATGCTGTCTGTCACCAAGGACAAGCACAAGGCTTCCTCTGGAATTTCTTTCTCAAGTGACCATCAGTGGCATATCGAATACTGGTATTTTCTTCTTTAAACTTCACTTAAGTGAGTTGACTAATTGTCACCTCTCTGAGTTACTGCTTTAGGCCATACTTGGACCTAGGGGGTGGTAGGTGCTGCATTGACATGTGTTTGGCTTACAAACTGTTGGAGCAGGGTGTTCACGATTATAAAGCACAAAGATTTAAGTCCATAGAAGTTACACTTAAGTCTACTCTAAATCCTTTGTATACTGCCAGAATGGTAAGTACCTTCAGTGTAAATGACAAGCAGTATTAATCTTGAAAAAACCCACACCTTAGATCTGGATGGAGTACGGTTATGTAGCATTTTAAAATTAAATCACATTTATACAGTGTCTCATGGCTTATGTAATCTCAGCACAGTTGGCATCCTCATCTTTGTTTTCTGCCTTTCTTTAGAAAGGGTGTTAGTGTGCACGTGCAGAAAAAAATTATGCGTGTGTGCTTAAGTGGGTGTGCCTCATCCTTAAAATGTGTTAAATAGGTCTTAAAGAACCAGTATTTTTTTAATTTGGTGCTTGTTAAAGCGCGTGTAAAGAGAGTATGTACCTACATTTTAAAAATGAGCAAATTGTTTTAAACTCACACAACCTAATGTCCACTCTCTTTTCTGTCTTACCTAATAGCGATAACCTGCTACGAAGAGCTGCATGCCAAGAAGCCCAGGTAATACCGTTTAAAGGGATAAAATTAGATTAAAATCTCCCTCTTATCTTGGTTGTGCAGGGCTCCTGAGATTTCCCCAGCGGGCCCTCTCTACGTGACAAGCCTTATAATGATGCCATCCATGTTCTTTTGCTGAAGTGCCATAGGGTGGCCGCAGCCTCCAGCCAGGGTACTGTACCTTTAGTGCCCTGACTGCTGTTGGGATGGATGGTGCAGTGTTATCACTGGGGTAATCTTAGTCACTGCTTGTAGCTACCCAGACCTCCGTTTCTGCAGGTGTGATTACTCCCTGTCTGTAAAGTTCTGGTGGGAAGATGGTTTGCTGATAAGATAGGAGACTCAAATCTCAGATACGCTGCAACTAGCAGAAGCAGTGCAAATTCCTTCATGTTAGTGCTCAGCTGGAGAGACCTTGTCCTTGTATATTCCATCCTGAGTGACTTCATCAAGGACCTCTCTTATGAAGAAAGGCTGAGAGAATCCCACTCTGAGTTGGGGTTGTTCACCTGGGAGAAGGCTCAGGGGAGACCTTATAGCGGCCTTCCAGTACCTTTAGGGGGGGCCTACAGGAGAGATGGGGAAGGACTGTTTATCAGGGAGTGTAGTGATAGGACAAGGGGTAGTGCTTTTAAGAGGGTAGAGGGTAGGTTTAGATTTGATATCAAGAAGAAATTCTTTAGTCTGAGGGTGGTGAGGTACTGGAAACAGGTCACCCAGAGAAGTTGGGGATGCCCCATCCCTGGAGGTGTTCAAGACCATGCTGGATGGGGCTTTGAGCAACCTGGTCTAGTGGGAGGTGTCCCTGCCCATGGCAGGGGGGTTGGAACTAGATAACCTTTAGGGTCCCTTCCAACCCAATCCATTCTGTGATGCTAGGTGTGGTGACTGGCCTAGTGCTTTTGAGACCCATGACAACTCATCTGCAGATCACTGACAAGAAAGCCAGTATTCAGAGAGTTATTCTCTGAGTAAACTGACTATTGCATTATGTAGTTTGTGGCCTGAATGGGCAACCAGCAATGAACAAATTCCCATATGGTGGTTTCCCATCAAGAAATCTTGTCCTTAACAAGTGGTCTTTAACAGGCACAAGTGCTGCTGCCCCCCAGAGATGACATCACTGCACAGGTACTGCTTGTGGGCTCTGATTACCCTGGTGGTGTGCTTTTTGAAGTCTTTCTACCTCCCACAAATAAAGTTTATTATAAACCTGCTTCTTCATGCCAGATCTTAGAGATTTTGCAGGGTGTAACACTGCTCCCATCGTTGCTATGTACTGGGGCCCGAGAGGAATGGTGAAAAATATTTTTCTCATTAAAAAACTTACCTTGAGATTACCCTGCTTCTGTGGTGCACCCGGATAATCCCAATTTTAGCCTGCTTGCTGTTGAGGGAAAGATATGCACAGCAACTCGATTTGGGCAATGGAACTTCATGCTGGAATAAATGTAACGGAACTCAAGTCTCATGAAGGAATAAGAAAAATCTTTCCCTGAAATCCTGCTTTCATAAATCATACTTACAGCTTCAGAGTCAAATGCATTTTCAACTCATACTATCAGTTGTTCTTGATTTTTATGTTTTCAATACTCATTTTTACTGCATAGTATCAAATTGATATAAGTTTTTATACTGCCAAAAATGGCAGTTAATACCTCAGTGTTTGAAGCATGTTGGCCAGATTAAAAAAAAATTTAAAAAGGCACTGATGAAATGATGATAAAAGGAGGAGTTAAAAGATCTAAGTGTGTATGCTGTCAAAAAGGTGTAACTGCTAAGGAAAGACTGGTACAAGAAGATAGTTCTATTGTGGAAATTCTGACTTTCCTGTTTCTTAATTCCAGTCATTAAGTCATGGGATCTATTCCATTATGGCTTATTCTTGTAAATGAAAGTGCAAAAGCACTGTCAGGAGAGCTTCCTGCAATTTCTGTGGTTAAAGCCTGGGAAAATATCCTGCAGAAGAAGCCTGCATTAGAAAGGAGTGAATCAGAAAGCCTGGTAATCAATTCTTGCTGTAATTTCCATTCTCACTGATGTGTCAGTGCCAAATACTGCTTGAAAACACACAGCAGTACAGCAGCAAGGCATTAAATGTCTGATATGTTCTTCAGAATAGCAACGATCTGTAATTGTTTGAAAAATGCTACTTTCGTTTATAGCGCTGTGTAAGTAAGCACTGGGGAAAAAAATAGAGGCAGACTCACCCAAGAAAAAGTTTAGTCTGAGTGAAGTGTGTGTGCGGTGTTCCTATTAGATTTCCCTCAGATTTTTAAGTTTTTAGGTCTGTTGCGATACCAAATTGATGAGGCACCCACTTTCCTGTCAAACTGGTCCCTACAGCAGTACTTCATGCAAAGACTCCACCGTGCGCATTTCAGTTTAAATACCAGTTTACGATGACAGCCTTGGGGTGGCCAAATGATCATAGAAAGATTCTATAATAAAGAACCCATTTATCAAATTTAAAACCTTTTACACTTCCTTGTCTGTAACAAGCGTTAGCTGACTGTGAACTTCCTTTGCAAGGGTGGTCTTGCTGATTGACCTTGTTGTTCTTGAGCTCTGGGCATGCGTTAAAGAGGTCCTGTTTAGCTGGTGTACAATTCACTCTGTGAAACAGGCATAGTTTTCCATAAAAGAATGCAGTTTCTCTGTTAATATTCATAAAGCATTACAAAGCCTTTGTATAAAGTGTTTTTCATAGTTGCAAAATAGTGATTGCCATCTTAAAAGTCCAGAAATGCAATAGTTGGAAGTGTGCATTTGACAAGGAAGTGAAAAAGGCATTAACTTTCCTAAATTATACCTTCATATATATATTTAATAACCATTTTTAATTTCTGGCTTTAAATTGTCTTTCCTTGTGTTGTGCTGTGAGGGGGGGAAAAAAAAAAAAAAGACTTATAGAGTGTTGCACTATTATTTTTTTATTTCCTGTCTTAAAAATCAGCATTTGCTTTAGAAATCCCCCTGTATGTCACATAAATGTCTAAGTATATTACATAAAGGAGTGATTATGTCATTACTTATAAATTCTCTATGAGCCTCGTTAGGTTGTTTAGAGCAAGCAAATACATCACATTGTGCCCCCCAAGCACATAATTAATTGTTTTTAACAGCTGTAACATGCTATAAGTCCCCTGTATTTCCTAATTCCTGCCACAAAAGAAGTTGGTTTGTTTTCCAGCTGATTTTTCAGTAAAGCTTAATAGCTATTGATTTGTTTCCTTTTCTTTGAAGATTCCTTTACTCTCAGAAACTTCTCCCATCCTTTTCCTTTCTTGAAGAAGAAATTTGAATGTTTTAAGCAACATAGCCAGCTGTACACTTCTTTTAATTGAGGTTACCTGAGCAAAGTTGGCAAGTGGAATGAATTATTAATATAAGCAGCTAACGATCACTAAAATCTACTGTGCTTTGTGTACAGTGTCCACCTTCTTAAACATAAAAATTCCTGCCAGGGGGATTAAATTTAAAGATAAAGGGGGGAAAAAACCTGACAGGGACAGTTGACTCTTGTCTGTAGTTCAGCGCAGTAGTTTTTTGTTCCTACTTTATTTCTGGGGCTTCTGACTGGTACTGCTGAATTCATTGTCATCCTTGTACTCAAAACCAGTTTGATTTGGTGCCTTTAGGTGAACTAATGAGGGTTACAGAGTGGGAAGTAGCACGTATGGAAGCTTTGCCTTTTCTTGCCTCTCCTGTGCTAAAAAGTTATGGAAATAGGCATAAATGGCTAAAAGGTACAAGAAGCTGTATGGAGTAACTCTTGAAGAGTTTAAAATTGAGGCACCTATTCAGAATTAGATTAAAAGTTGAAGAGAATTTTAGTGATTTTAATACGGAGGCATTAGGAAGAAAAAATGTCTGAGAAACAGTGAGCTTGCTTATAGGTCAGGGCAAATTCTCTGGTGATTATCTTCCATATCTTCAAAAGCTTAAGCATAGAAAATACAAAAATGAGCAGAAGAGATACAAGAAATGAAGTACAGAAGTGGAAAAAGATGCAGAAAGAAGGTGGCTGGCATGTGTATGAGAATTACATAAGGAAGGAAAATCAAGTAACCTTGGAGTCAAGGATAGTTTCCCTGGATCTCTGCCCGTGGCGAAAAAACAGGGGTTGACAAAAATGAAATGGTATTGGAATTGTAAAAATGAGCTAAAAAGTACTTGTGACAGTGGTGTGAGGCGTTGCTAGGAGTGGAGGTCTTTGAATAGCAGACCTATGCAATGGCTGAAGATGGAAGCAATTTGGGTGTCGTGAGGCTTGAAAGCCCATTGACATTTGGAGACATGCATTATTTTGAACTGTTTTACCCATGTGCTTAAAAGAGAAACTGAACTCTGCTCTTTTTATCCCATTTAGGCTTTTGGCAACGAGCTGATCCCTTCGAGTATGCCGTTGAAGAAGGCAACAGTGTTCCTTAATCCAGCAGCTTGCAAAGGGTAAAATTGCCCCTTCCCTACACTCGTCTGTGAGGCACTCTTTCTGTTATTTTTGCTCTGCCACCCACTATAAAATCCAGCCAGATTTTTTGAGCTCATTTTTGCCTCCCTCTGATGCCAAGCTGGTGCTATGTAACTATGCCAAACTTTATTTCACCAAAAATAATGGGATGAGAAATAGAACTAGATGCTTCAGTTGAAAGAATTTCTAAACATATGTATGTTTATAATTTCCTTTTATCCTGTGTTTTGGGCTTCGTTGTTCCTTTGTGTGTGGAATTCCTTCGTATTGCTTCCACACTTCTGTATGTGATGCATTTCCAACATCCAAAATTATAGAAGTAGGAGATGACCTTGGTTGCTTCAAGACTTGAAGTTAACCAGCAGTGATCTTACTTGTATGGGAACCTGTCCTTGAAAGGGATGTGCCCACAAACTGAGAGGCTAAATATGGGCTCAGAGCAAGACTCCTGGAAGAGATTGGCTGCTATTTTTGCATACTCATTAGCAGAAAAACAGTTATCTTGGATATGATATGTGGCTGGTTTTGCTGATCAACTAAGCTTCGTATCAGTTGCATCTTGGGGAGGGACTGTCAGTAACAATATGAAATGAATTATGGATCTGACATGGAAGTGCTTGGACTTTTATATGCTTTTGTTCAATGCAAATGGAAAATGCAAAGTGTTAATAAATTAAGTCTCTGACTTCTAGTCTCGTGTTTCTACTTGTAAGCAATGTATAGTTAATGGCGTAATTATTTTATTATGCAGTTACAGGCAGAAAATGCGTGAGTCCTATAACAAAAGGAAGTCAGACAAAACTTTGCCTCTAAATCTATTTAATAGTATGTAACAATAAATATTTTTTTTAATGTTTCTGAAAACCTGAATGGGCTGCCTTTGTGGTCTTAAAGCCTGCTGCTCTGTAAGTCATTAATTTTCTAATAAATTTATTTCTGGAGATCTTGTTTTGTTTGGTTTGGGTTTTTTAATTATTTTTAGAGAAACCTTGATAACCTCTTCCGCATTTATTAAAACTGCAACAAAAAGCTGGCATCTGAGATACGAGTCTAGAAATGTAATACATTTGAACCAAATGAAATCTCATCTTTCCTGACTGGTAGGTTGAGTGACTGATTGTGTAGATTGTATGCTCTGTTTTTAAGTAGATTTCTTCACGTTATTCATTGGTTTCTTTCCTTTTCAATTTTTTTAGCCAGCAGACTAATGAAATAATTTTTACTCTGTTTTTTCTAGCAAAGCCAGGAACCTTTTTGAAAAGAATGCTGCTCCAATTTTGCACTTATCTGGCTTGGATGTAACTGTGGTTAAGGTAAGAATTGTTCTGTTAATATAGATATATTGTCTGCTCTGCTTTGTCTTCTTGAAGAATTGAAATTCAGTTCTGGATGCGTTTGAAATTCTCAGTTGTCCTGTAGACATCTCACGAGAAGAAATAAATACTGAGATATTAAGCTGGTGCTTAATCTTTTTCTTTTTAATTCACAGTTAATTTACAAACTGTGTACTGAATTTTTAATTTTCAGCTAAAGCGCTACATGTGCTTGTCTGTGTGTCTACAGCAGCCCTTCTATAATTCATGTTTGAGAGAAAACCTCTAAATATTTGAGTGCTGGCTAGTGGTGCATGCCCATCGCTGTTGAGATTGTCATTTCTGGCTGAACTTGCAGAATTCAGAAGTGAAGAACTTTGACGTGCAGCGGAACTGTTCTGATTAATTAAAAATAAACCTTTATTTTTCCACTGAAAATACCTCAGTGTATCCCCAAATAATTCAACATTCCCATCAGTGGAATACTGAGGTCTAAATGGTGTGAATTAGCAGAGGGGTTTTCTTTGGAAAGAGGAAAAGAAAAGACAAATGGATTTTGGTTTTTCTACAGGTTTTTGAGGCTGTGGTATGGGGACTGTTTAATAGTCACTATGTCCTACTAGTGAAGTACTCTAATATGTAGCTTTCTGTCCACGAATCTTTTTCACAAGGTTTAGTGTTAAAATGCTGTTTTAATTAATGCCTCACTGTTGAAAATACATAGTTCCAGCCCAAGAGAAAAAAATATTTTGCGAGACTTAAAACTGATGCTTTGTAGCTTCAGACCTGGCAAGTGAGCAAAACAGGGCTGGGCCAGTGACCGAGGCCGAGGTGTCCCTGTAAAAGACATTAATTTTGCAGAAAACAGTTTTGATGATTTAGAAAGCCAGTGTACTCTACTGCTAAACCAATTGCCAACAGCCTGCTGTCGGGCAGTAGCCTTTCAGGTAGCTCATTCTGTGTTTCAGGAGATGCACTTGAGCACTTTGGCTGCTAAACATGTTGGGACTTTTTCTGCAAGAGCATCGTTTGCTTGTGATTTTGGTTCAATATAAAACTACCTGGAAATATGCTTATTGCGGCTATATTCTAGATTTATTGAATAAGATTTACTCTGAGATTTCATTTAGCCTTTTGTGTGTCTGTGTTTGCTTGCACATATTGTATTAGGCAGCAGACTTGTTTTACACGTTGAAGAAATCTCAGTAAATGGAAGTAATATATAGTGTTCTGTGGCTGTGTGAGAATAACTATTAAGCAAATGGATAGATGATTCTTTTTTTTTTTTTTTT